GAGGCCGAGTTTGCCTTAAAAATATCCTTCGCTGTATATATGCAGTTAAATAATGAATACATTATTTAATAATTATTTAATAATGAAAAAAGACAGTAATTTGAGTGTCAGGTTATATATTTTTGATTTTTATTAAAGATGCATTGTGTTCAGTGTTATCCGAAGCGTCTGAAGCTGATATATTCTCATGCATTCAATGGGAACTGAGCCCATGCCAGTCCAGTGCGTACAGTATAAACACAATCTCTGTGATTATGAGGAGTTTCTCTGACATGTAATAATGCATTAACTGCGCTTTAAGTCACAGCAAGTCCCGGTCATGAAGCCGCGTCGCTGTTAAAACGCTTTCAGTGATGCTGCGGAGCTCAAATAAGCTTGTAAATTGATTCTGTTGAATGGAATAAGCTTTCTTTATTTCCTTGGGAAAGCTCATGTGTGGTTAATCCCGTCTGGATGCGGCGTTCCGGGCCGCTTGAGGAAAGAAAAAGCCCTCCGAGAGTCAGATTTCAGTCAAAACTGTCTGAACGTGGTCTCGTGTGTCAGTCGAGAGTCGCTTGATGTTCATTCAGAGCTTTAATTCACATGTAATTGTGTCTTTGTTTCCAGCGATGACTGTCAGTGCTCCGGTGCTTATTAAACTAATATTATTCATAATGCAATAAAACAGTCAATCCACGTCTCATTATTTAATTAGTCCCATATATGAGTAATAAATGACTGTACAAGTGAAGATAAAACATGTTTTGTACAGATTGTTTTTCTTCTGATCTGAACATTTGAATCACTTTTTCTTTAACTGAGTCGTTTGTTATTTTGAACAGATGATCTCTTTCTGCCTTCATTTTCTGTGCTTGATTAAACATTCCTCGTTATTAATGTGTACTCCACTCATCTAACTACTAACTAGTTTCCTGACCAGAGGACTAACCATCACTAGAACAGAATATAATTCTGTTTAATAGAATCACTTTTTCTTTAACTGAGTCGTTTGTTATTTTGAACAGATGATCTCTTTCTGCCTTCATTTTCTGTGCTTGATTAAACATTCCTCGTTATTAATGTGTACTCCACTCATCTAACTACTAACTAGTTTCCTGACCAGAGGACTAACCATCACTAGAACAGAATATAATTCTGTTTAATATAGTTTCTTCAGAGTCATAATCACGTCTAATCACTTGTTTCCACAACTACTCGCCTGACTGAACATGAATCATATTTCATATAAATATTACACTGATTATCACAGGGCTTCATATTTTTCCATATCAAGAGCTCATAATTACATACGTGAATTAATTAAACACGAGTAGTTTAGAGGACTGTAATTGTTCTGTACAGGTGCAGTCAGACGGAAAAACATGAAGACATGAACAATGAAGTTACAGTCATATCAGTTATTTAGAAAGAGCTGTATTAATCTGTCTAAAAGATATATTTAAATATTAATTATTCAAATATTAAATTAAGACAGATATAATTATTTATAAAATTGATATATGCTATAATATTATAATTAAAATAAAAACAATTATTGTGTTCATTACATGCATGTATGTATTTTTTATTTATTTATTGGTGTGGATTTGATTGACTCTGTGACTGACTGTATGAGTGAATCATTGAATCGTTCATTCAAACGATTTGTTCAAACCCGGTGATTTATTCAGAAATGTATCAAGTGACTGTTTTGTTGAATGGAATAAGCTTTCTTTATTTCCTTGGGAAAGCTCATGTGTGGTTAATCCCGTCTGGATGCGGCGTTCCGGGCCGCTTGAGGAAAGAAAAAGCCCTCCGAGAGTCAGATTTCAGTCAAAACTGTCTGAACGTGGTCTCGTGTGTCAGTCGAGAGTCGCTTGATGTTCATTCAGAGCTTTAATTCACATGTAATTGTGTCTTTGTTTACAGCGATGACTGTCAGTGCTCCGGTGCTTATTAAACTAATATTATTCATAATGCAATAAAACAGTCAATCCACGTCTCATTATTTAATTAGTCCCATATATGAGTAATAAATGACTGTACAAGTGAAGATAAAACATGTTTTGTACAGATTGTTTTTCTTCTGATCTGAACATTTGAATCACTTTTTCGATTCATTTAAAATGCTGATTCATTTAAGAACAAATAAAGTGACTGTTTTTTATGAATGAGTCATTGAATCATTCACTGAGCTGATTCGTTTAAAGCGTTTTTTTCATTAAAGAACAAAAATCAAGTGACTTTTTTATGAGTGAGTCATTGAATAATTCACTGAACTGATTCATTTAAAATGCTGATTCATTTAAGAACAAATAAAGTGACTGTTTTTTATGAATGAGTCATTGAATCATTCACTGAGCTGATTCGTTTAAAGCGTTTTTTTCATTAAAGAACAAAAATCAAGTGACTTTTTTATGAGTGAGTCATTGAATAATTCACTGAACTGATTCATTTAAAATGCTGATTCATTTAAGAACAAATAAAGTGACTGTTTTTTATGAATGAGTCATTGAATCATTCACTGAGCTGATTCGTTTAAAGCGTTTTTTTCATTAAAGAACAAAAATCAAGTGACTTTTTTATGAGTGAGTCATTGAATAATTCACTGAACTGATTCATTTAAAATGCTGATTCATTTAAGAACAAATAAAGTGACTGTTTTTTATGAATGAGTCATTGAATCATTCACTGAACTGATTCGTTTAAAATGCTGATTCATTTAACAACAAATAAAGTGACTGTTTTCTGTGAGTGAGTCATTGAATCATTCACCTTAAACGATTAATTTAAAATGAATAATTTATTCAGAAATGAATAAAGCGATTGGTTTTTATGATTGAGTCATTGAATCGTTCACTGAACTGGTTAGTTGAAAACACTGATCCATTAAAGAATGAATCAAATGATTGTTTTTATGAGTGAGCCGTTGAATCATTCATTCAAATGATTCGTTCAAAACCTCTGATTTGGTTTGGTTGACACTGATTCGTTTAAAGCGTTTTTTTCATTAAAGAACAAAAATCAAGTGACTTTTTTATGAGTGAGTCATTGAATAATTCACTGAACTGATTCATTTAAAATGCTGATTCATTTAAGAACAAATAAAGTGACTGTTTTTTATGAATGAGTCATTGAATCATTCACTGAGCTGATTCGTTTAAAGCGTTTTTTTCATTAAAGAACAAAAATCAAGTGACTTTTTTATGAGTGAGTCATTGAATAATTCACTGAACTGATTCATTTAAAATGCTGATTCATTTAAGAACAAATAAAGTGACTGCTTTCTGTGAGTGAGTCATTGAATCATTCACCTTAAACGATTAATTTAGAATGAATAATTTATTCAGAAATGAATAAAGCGATTGGTTTTTATGATTGAGTCATTGAATCGTTCACTGAACTGGTTAGTTGAAAACACTGATCCATTAAAGAATGAATCAAATTTTATGAGTGAGCCGTTGAATCATTCATTCAAATGATTCGTTCAAAACCTCTGATTTGGTTTGGTTGACAGAGCACAAACAGACAAAGTAACTGGAAATATTGTGGCTAAAATGGAAGTTACTTGAAATTAACTTCTTATTTATTGAACGGTTATAAAAACATAAAACCCTGATGAACGAGTGTGTCAACATCCGTAATTAAAATATATGTTTATGTTTTTAACATGAGTGTTCATGCATAATTGATGTAAAACCATCATTAACTCATTATTCACAGTTGGTGTTTGACTCGTGTGTGTTTACAGTCTACATTATTCATCAAGATTTTTGCATTAAAGCAATAAGCCAGCTAAAGCGGGGTTTTACAGTGATTTTTCCAGGGGAAGGGGCCAAGGGCTGTTTTTAGGCATGATGTGAAGCGCAGCGCCTCAAACCCAATTAACTGTGGTAAAATCGCTTTGCTTGGCCATTTGTTATGATAAACAGGAAAGTGTGTCCAACTGAATTCAATTTGAGTTTTGTTAGACGAATATAAAAAGCTTAGTATACCACGGCAGCCCTCGTGTGAAGCCCTCCTCTTGTAAAGACTGCAGAGTGTAAAGACCATCGACACGACCGTTCGACTCCACTGAGCAGGGACACCGGCAAAGCACATAATTTATGATAAACAGGAAAGTGTGTCCAACTGAATTCAATTTGAGTTTTGTTAGACGAATATAAAAAGCTTAGTATACCACGGCAGCCCTCGTGTGAAGCCCTCCTCTTGTAAAGACTGCAGAGTGTAAAGACCATCGACACGACCGTTCGACTCCACTGAGCAGGGACACCGGCAAAGCACATAATTATCGCTTCTGAATCATTCTCTTTCCTACTACTTGTTCCCCTTCTGTTTTCAGTTTTTATAACCAATTCTTACTATGTGTTTCCAGATCCCTACTATCACTACCACTCGCAAACCATGCATCACACACTGTAGGCAGCGCAATCCTAACAACCTGCACACTTTGCCTATGTCTACTAAGACACTACTTTCTTTTTCTATTGGTCTCTGGAATTGCCAGTCTGCTGTAAACAAAGTAGAATTTATTACTTCTATTACAAGTCATTCAAGACTAAACCTCATGGCCCTGACAGAGACCTGGATCAAACCAGAGGACACTGCTACTCCTGCAGCACTCTCCAATAATTTATCTTCTTCCCCACACTCCCCGTCTGACTGGAAGAGGTGGAGGTACTGGTCTGCTTATCTCTAATGACTGGAAATAAACATGCACACACACACACACACACACACACCTGCTTTTACTTTATACCCCCAAAAACACATGTATGACTTTAAAAGTGTTTTCACTTTTAGAAAACGGAGGTGACACTTTACACTGTGCGTGTTACTATAACTAACTTATGGTAGTGACGAATGCAACAACACAAAATAAACACATGAAGCACTTATTTGTGTAAATAAAAGCTGGATATTCAAATTAGGACTAACGTAATGTGCAAGCGCAAAGATTGAACGAATGCAGTAAAACATGCGGGATTTTATGAATGGAATAAACGCGTATCAGTGCAGCCATGTGTGTAAACTCGCCAGAACCGAGCAGAGCATCGCCTGAATCACCCAAACATCAGCTAATGATCCGAGTCCCGGTCCGATCCCGCAGGACGGAGGAGAGGAACCCAGAACAGAACCATCCCGAAGCAGCTGGAAAGGCTCTTACCGGTTAAATCCCGCCGGAGGAGGAGTGCTATTATCCGCGGCGCTGCTGAAGTATGGTGTGCTCTCTCTTGAGCTCTCAGCTCCAGTGTCACATTACATCCAGCTCTTTCTATTGCCACAGACACACAGACTGGAAAACACGGCATGGACTCAAACGATCCCGGATTCTGGCGGAAAACCAATGCAAATACTTCTGGGGCGTCCAGTGTACAATGACCCAGATTGTGCAAGTGTAAGCAGCAAAAAGCTGTCAGTTTAACCACAGTAACCTACATAGACGATTAAAAATAGAGCAGTTTTCAAATGTTCCATCTTCATCATTAATTTATATATATATATACACATCCATATATATATATATATATATATAAACATCTCAAAGTAGCATTTAAATGAATATAAAATATAAATTAATAAACAATATATATATAACCATATAACATTCTAATAATACCTTTATTTGACCCTCTAACTCTAGCACCTTCTATTCTATTTTAATTCTACTTTATCTATATTTATCTTCTTTGTGTGTGTCTGTGTATATGTGTGTGTATAATATATGTATGTATGTATGTGTATGTGTGTATATATATATATATACACCTTGCTATGTGTACGGTGTTAGGCTAACCGAGACTTGTCATTTGCACTTATATATTGTTGCTCTTTTGTTAGTTTTGACTGCTTTTATTGTCCTCATTTGTAAGTCGCTTTGGATAAAAGCGTCTGCTAAATGATTAAATAAATAAATAAAAATAAATCGCTGTAAAAATGTGGCGTCTCTTACACAGGTCTGGTGTTGATCTCCATCAGGAGCTCCTCAGATCTTTCCCAGCGTTGCATCAGATCTCTGCTGAATTTCAGAGACTCTTTCAGGGGTTTACTGCTTGTTTTTGATTGATGAGTCATTTCAGACTGTTTCAGGAGTCTGTGTTTGAGTAGACAGTGCAGATGATGGGACAGAGAATCTGTGAGGTTTGACTAATGAAGCAGCATCATCATCATCATCATCACTGGATCACACTCAGCTGATTGATATTGATTATAATTGAGATTACCTGTTCAGTTGAGTCTGTGCACATTTTGTCTTATGTTGATGAAGAGCAACAAAGCTTGACAGACATTTAGCCGGTTTATGAGTTGACGACAACCATATTTCTCATCATCCTCTGTAGCAGGAGGAGAATGATAAATTACACAAAGCATCCATATTTGAGCTTCATTTTTAAATATTTTGTATATTTATATTATTTATATTTTCACTTTTAACACTTTTAATAATTTTGTTTTAATCATTTTTATATTCATATTTATTTTTATATAAATTTTTTTGTTTTTATATTCATATTTATTTTTATATTTGAAAGTTTTAGTCATTTTCTTGTGTGTTTTTGACCTTAACAATTTTTTTATTTCTAAAAAAAATTGTGTTTGTTTTAGTTTTTTATATATTATTATAGTTTTTGCTTATATTTTGAATGAGTTGTTTTTATTTATATATTTTTTGTATTTATATTTTTATATGATTTATATTTATTCTTTATATTTTATTTAGTGCTGGGCAACGATTAATCATGATTAATCGCATCCAAAATAAAGTTTTTGTTTACATTATATACGTGTGTGTACTGTGTATATTTATTATGTATATATACACACACACACACACACACACACACATGCATCCATATATTTAAGAAAAATATAACATGTTTATATATTAAATATATTTATTATAATATAAATTATATGAATATAAATATATACATGTAAATATTTTCAAAATATATACTGTATGTGTGTGTATTTATATATACATAATAAATATACACAGTACAGTACACACACACATATATAATGTAAACAAAACTTTTATTTTGGAAGCGATTAATCGCGATTAATCGTTGCCCAGCACTAATTAAAAAGTTTTTGTCATTTTGTTGTGTTTTTTGTGAATGTAGCACTGTTTTATTGTTTTAGTTTTAGTTTATTAAGTTTTAGTTATATACTTGAAACAACAGTTATAAACTAAACTGAATGAAAATAAGAAATGCTGCCTTAACAACAAGCTGAAATAAAATAACCTTAAGTTCATAATATTGCATTTCAATTAATGAGAATTAATTTTTTATGGTTTTAGTTAACGATAATTACCGTGCACTAGTGCTAAAAGCTTCTTGTGCTTGCCAAAGGATAAAAAAATAAATACTCATGTGTCCTTTTCATCATTTTTATTCACACATTTTTATCCGTGTTTCTGTTTCTGATCTCAGTCTTTTGTTTTGGTCTTTTCGTCTTCCAGAATGTTCCTCAGCTGCCGTGTGGAAAAGCGCTTTACAGCTACGAGGGCAAAGAAGCGGGCGACCTGAAGTTCAGCAAAGGCGATATCATCATCCTGCGGCGGAAGGTGGACGAGAACTGGTTCCACGGCGAGCTGAACGGCAGCCACGGATTCCTTCCGGCGAGTTACATCCAGTGCATCCGGCCGCTGTCCCAGACGCCGCCGCAGGGGAAAGCACTCTACGACTTCGAGGTCAAAGACAAAGACCAGGACAAAGACTGCCTGACCTTCACTAAGGTACAAACACGGCTTCTGTCTGCACACCAAACACTGGTCGGTTGAATGTTTCTGAAAGAGTCTCTTCTGCTCATCCAAGCTGCATTTATTTGAACAAAAATTAGGGGGTGCTCCGATCAGGGTTTTTGAGGCCGATCACAGAAAGCAGTATCTGCCGATACCGATCACCGATACCGATATTTTAAAAGCCTTCTTTTTTATCATTTATAACTATTTATAGTGATACTCCAATCAGGATTTTTAGACATTTATTCTGGGCCTGAATTTAATTTTTGAAAATGTGGTGAATTCCTCTCTTAGGTGACTCTTGTGAGAGGAGAAGCAGCTTTCACACAGGAGTCCGCTACTGATCCGTGTTTACCACAAACACTACATTTATCCATTATTTTGATTTCAAACCCAAACATTGTCACTGAAAATGCTTTTTCAGCATTGCAATTCTTTTTTTACACAGTACAGTAATACAATCTTTCACAGATGTGTTTAAACACAATAAATATAAGCAACACATTATTCAATGCTTTTTACTTTTGCATTTACTTCTAGATTTATATATTAAGTTGCTCAAGCAAGTGGCAAAACATTTAAACTACTTTTCTTACGTTATCACAAACTTACCATTGACAGAAAAAGTCAGCTCTACTGCCTTTTCTTGTGCATTTAATTCTTTATTACAAGCAATCCTCCAGTTCATAAAGAACTTTGTTTTCCTACCTCCACAAGTGCCATCTATAATTGCCTTGTTTATCTAAAAGTGCTAAACAATGCACTGTTACTTTAATTCAGCGCGTGCAGCGCAGCAATAGACTCGGTGCTGAAACGATCTCTGCTGCAGACGCACCACTCCTGAACACACTGCCGGACCGCAACCGTGTGCAGTGTGCACGCTTTATTATTCTGTTAACATGAGCATGGAAGAATTACGCATTCGCACTGCAAATGGAGTAATGTGAACCTGGCGTTATGTGTGTGCGCTGCGAGTGTGCATGAGCGCTCAGTCTCCAGGAGAGTGCGCGAGCGCTGAATGATTAAACACTGGCAAGAATAAAAAAGAAATGCAATTTATAAACTTTAGTGATGATGTGACTGCCTCGACTGTGCAAGTGACAATTCCTGTGTTAACTGTGCAGCGTGCAGCTCGCTTATAGACAGATGCGATGTGGGGATTTGAAGACATTTGCATATTTTGAGAGAGAAAGAGAGAGCGCGCGGTGATCCACTCACGCTGCTTGTGAAATTACACCTCACACAAGGTTTTCAAATTACTTTATAAGTTATGTAATGAAGAAATATGAAGGTGAGTACCTCACATTCAGCATTATAATTATTTCACCAGCGTCGGACAGAGACTGAGACGGTGACGCTGCATGTCGTGCCAAACCTCTCACAGCAGCGTCATCAGCTTGAGATTGTTTTTTTTTTGAGATCGGCATTTTAGAGACCGCCGATCAATCATCCCAACGTGATTATCGGCCGATAGTGATCGGTAGCCGATCAATCGGAGCACCCCTATCAAAAATACTGTAAAAAATGTGAAATATTATTTAGGGATGCACCGAATGTTCGGCAACAGATTAATAAGCAAAAAGACAGAATAAATTGTACCGAACAATGATGTGGCGCTATCAAATAGCAACCAGCATAAAGTGAGAGGCGCGCATTCTGTATAATGCAACAAACATGTCAGCAGTGTGGAAGCATTTAAACTCTCCCAGAAAGATGCAAAAATCATTACAAGCACCGACAGGGAGAGACTGTTTATGACTGCATCGCATGTCTTCAATGAGAAGAGGAAGGGGTGATTGTTGCTGGTTACTGCATGATGATTGAAATTGTGAAATGGCCTTAAACAATTAGTAAATAAACTGCAGAACGTTATGTTTTCTAATACATGCACACATCGCATGTGTTCTGACAGCGCTATCTGCTTGTTAACCAGGGTTAAAAGTCCAAAGCGCAAGGAAAATCTGCGCTGAAACAGTGTTACTCGTTAATTGCTCAGTCACATTTTTATTAATTTTTACAAAGGCATGTGACAATGCAATACGTGTGACATATTCGTAATGAGACTCATTTATAAATCTGCGGTCAACAAAAAGAAGCATTGAGGTCTTCCTGCACGTTTCTGCCAAAATAAAAGTTGAGAAAAAGCAAGAACTCCAACATTCATATTTAATAATTTTATACTCAGTTCAAGATTTAAGTTTTAGTGTGAGAAGTAAGGATATTATATTACCAAATCTTTATCTTACTGTTTTTCATATTTCTGAAGTATCTGAGTCCTATATAATACACATTTTAAGCCAGCTTAAGAGTTCTATGGCCAAAGATGTTTTTGATTGCGACTGTATTTGTTAAAATGTATGCAAATGTTCTTAGTACATCTATAACTCATCTGGTTAATTTGTCAATAAAACAATGTCATTTTCCAAGTGCCTGGAAGTCAGCAGTAATAGGACCTATATTTAAGACTGGTGATCCTGCTAATGTAATTAACTACAGACCTATCAGTATTCTACCAGTTGTTTCTAAAGTAATTGAAAAGGTCGTTTGCAATCAGTTAGTAGAGCATTTAAATCCATTTTCCATTACATTGTATGCAGTTTACGATTAAATTAATGATGTTTACACCTTTGTTTGAAGCAACTGCATGCCATATTTTATATTAAAATATATATTATATTAAATATTATATTAAAACTTTTCTATAGTATTAAGCCTCAAATGTCAACTATACATCGGATTGGTTTCTCTTTAAATAAAAAGGTAAAAATGTGCATGGTATTATAATTTTATACTAAAACTAAAATTAAAACAATGGAAAAACCCTACCTAACATGTAGAAAGAAAAACACATCTTAAGCATGCAGAATAACATAAGTGGACTTTGGATGATTAATTGCTGCTTTGAACGATTATGTAATTGTGGCATCCGTAATTGTAATTGCGATTAGAAATTTGAATAATTGTGCAGTCCTAATGGAGTCATACTTAAATTTAAGAAAATAATGTACACAAATTAATGATGCTTGCTCACCATTTCTTGACTGTAATATTGGAGTCCCACAGGGGTCGATTCTTGGACCAATTTTGTTCAGCTTATACATTAATGATCTGCCTACAGTTTGTCCAGTGGTCCAGATTCAAATGTATGCAGATGATACAGTTGTTTATACTTATGCTAAGACAAAAGAACAAGCTGCTATCAAACTTACTGCTGCATTGAGCAAAGTCTCACATATGTCATTCTTGCCTTACTCTTAATGTGAGTAAAACTGTGGGAATGTTTTTTTCAATCAAGAAAGTTGATGAGCGTTGTCCAGATATTTTAGTTAAAGGAGAGGTAATAAATATTGTT